AATAAAGATGTTTCCAACAATATGATTTATACCGAGGAGTTTTTAAATAGTATCAAGATGTCTGGTTTCCCTAATCATGTCCTGAAGTTGAGAGAGGGTACTCCTGTAATGCTTCTACGAAATATCGACCCTAAGAATGGGTTGTGTAATGGCACAAGACTCATCATTACTAAGATGGCTAATTATGTTCTCCAGGCTCAGATAATAACAGGTAGCAAGGTTGGTGAAAAAGTACTGATTCCTAGGATATTCCTCTCTCCTTCGGAGATGAAACTTCCTTTCAGGATGAGACGCAAGCAGTTTCCCATCACATTAGCTTTTGCAATGACTATAAACAAAAGCCAAGGACAGACACTCGAAAAGGTTGGTTTGTATCTTCCAAGGCCGGTATTTACTCATGGGCAACTCTATGTCGCTGTATCGAGGGTTACATCCAGAAAAGGTTTGAAGATATTGATCACAGATAAAGACAACAAACCACAAAACAAAACATTGAATATCGTCTACAAGGAGGTTTTTGACAAGATATGATAGTTCTTTTTACTGTGTTTTGTTTTGTGGTTTGTTGTCTCTATGTATCTCGAAATATGTTAGTTCTTTTTATTATATAAGACCATTACGTTCGGTTTTATAGTTTATAATAGATTTGATGTTTTTCGATTTTTCACTAAGTTGGATCTGATGTATTAATGGTTTGATCTTTGACGTTTAACTGTAGTCGGATATTCCAATGACAAACTCAATTCGATAACATATTTTAACGAAACTTAAATTGTAGCATATTATTGGGCATCTATTAACATTTCATATGATGAACGTTGTCACGTAGTTGTAAATATCGAGAATGCTCCAAAACCAAATTATCATGTCATCGAAATAAACTTAATAGTTTTTAGAAAATAAAACCAAGTACATACTGTCTTCAAAGTGTTCATTGCAAACATGAAAAAAAAAACATGAAATTGATTTGAAACTGATATGGTTCTTGATTAAACTCCAGACCTCCTCTTTTTACGTTCATTCTCCTCTCCCTTTAAGCACAGACACAAACAATCCAATTTAGATTTTTGTAAAATTATATAGCTTTAAACTAACTCAATATTATATTTAAACATGAATTGTTTCTAAAACATAGAGTTCAATGGGCAATCAATAACAAAATATAATGACTCAATAACATAGATTTTAGACAACTTTTCATTATTAATCTAAATATATTTCTGATTACGTACCCATTCGGCGGTATCCATGTGTCGAATTTCTGTCTCCACAAAACCGCAACGCATGCACTTCAACCCTATCTCCAGATCTAGAATCAGGTCGTGTTTTCGTTTTGTGCAACTTGATTGGGGTGTCTCATTAGATGTGTTGCCTTTGTCATCCTCCATAAGCAGAATATACAGATTTTACAATTCATTGTGTAAGACATGATTAAAATAAACTTTAGTGAATAGGATGTATTACCTGAGGAGTGTTCTGTTTGGCTTTCTGATTTGATGCAGTGAATAAATGTAATTGTTCCTATAATTCTTCTTGCTCTATCTCGGAATCTGTTGGTGAAGGTGGTGACTTAGGTTCCACGACACCGAATCTCATTACCAATGGTAGGGGATTGATGATCAACAAGCCATTTTCATCGAATTTTTTTCGTTTGTGTTCGCCATGTTCTTATGAATGCTCTCAGAAACGATAAGGCTACTTATAAAATATTTTAAAGTTTTTTGAAAAGAAACCCTCAAGTCAGTATTTATAAGGTGTGCAATAATAATCAATTTTCACATTTATCAATTTCTTTATGGGGAAGATTATGTGACTTTATGTTTGCACCTAACTGTTTGACTTTCCAGGTTTCCTGTTTCATATAATTTTAAGGAAAATTGCTCAAGTAGATACATAAAGTTATAACATATAAGTCTACATAAATGTCATTTTTGTTATGATGTTATATGAATATATCATTTCCTAAAATATTGAAACATAGAATTGTCCAAATAACATAAGCTATAGAGAGAGATCATATTATTTTATGGAAAGTGTTGCAATTTAGCAAAGTTTTATATTTAATAAAATAGTATATTTACTTATTGAGATTGCGTGTATCTTTGGTGAAACTTAAAACATGGAATATATTCTCTCTGGCACGTGAAACGAACAAATCGGTCAATATCAATATAGAAATGTCTTGACATAAATTAGTGGATTGTTGTTGGTTTTGACAACAAGAGGCTTTAAATGGTAACTGTTCAAATTTTTTCTTTTAAAATAATTCAAACGAAAATAAATTTATAAGAAAGAATAACTGCCTATTCAACTGCATAGTCTGTCCTTTTCATATTTAACACAGTTTCTCATACTCCGTCACTTTTAGTTTTCCTCTTTATAAAACTTATTCAGAGTTCTCGATCGAAAAGAAGAAAAAAAAAGTTTCTAAAATGTATGATA